ACCAATAATTCAAAACTGGTTTCATGCAAGACTTCAGTATTAATTTTTTATCTTTCTGAGTGTTTATACTTTAATTGGTGAGACACCAACTAAAATAATTATTTTACATGCTTTAAACGGACTATTGTTGCTCTATAGCTGCTGTAAGGGTAAGGTTAATAAAGACATCAACAAAAATCTAGGAAAATCTACCAAACTCAAGTTATTGAAAATGTTCTAGGCCAGTGATTTTCAAATTTTCTGCTGCCATGACACCCTTTCAGGTAAAAAATTCTGCACATACCTCCCCTCATTAAAATTTAAATTGTTAAACTAAATATTTTTTTCTGAAAGTCAGGTCATCAAGAATACTTTTTTATTATATACTTATGGTGTAAAAAATAATTCTTATGTGTGATTTGCACTATTCACTGTTGCAATTGCTAAATTTAATTAATGTTTGAAAAAATGAGGAAAACTTCAAGGAAAACTATTTTTTTTTAAATGAACATGTTGACAGTTCAGGAGAGTAAGTGAGAAAGATGGGCTTGTTTGGTGTCACACAGTCCATTGAATCTCGGCACTAATTTAGAAATGGCAATACACATCTTATTCTGGAAATGTTTCCTTGATCTAAATTTTGACATGATTGACATGATCACCAGGGTTAGAAATCAAAAAGTTTTTGCACCTCCTCGCTGAAATTGTCAGGCCTCCATGAGGAGGTGTGCTTCACAATTTGAATAAAACTGTTTTAAGGAGTTATTCATAGTAAAGAAAATCATTATGAACAGTTAACACCATACATGCAGACACAAAACACAATTCTCAGCCCATTCTGACATCATTCCTGAATAACAACTGAAATAGAAAGTCAATTTCTTAAGCATCATGACTGGTATCAAAAGAGGTAAGTTAGATCTCAATGAAATAAAATATATAATAAAATAAATATTGTTGATTGCCAGAACAAAAAAATAGGAATAAATGAACGGTAGGTCTTTTAAGATGTTATGTCCACTTGCAAGAACATAATGCTTTTGCACCTACCTCATGAATGTTTGAAAAACCTTGTTCTTACCTTCACTTTCTTACTGCCACTGCCAGAAGCCGTCTCTGATCGTCCTAGATCGTGCCTCTTCAATGAGACTGACACCTCTGACAAACTAGGTAGTGCCTTCAGCTCCTCCCGGTGCCTCTGAGAGCGAGTAGGGGTGGTGGTGATGCTGATCTTCTCTTCGGAGTGAGCTTCCACCTTCTGGCGCTTGGTAGGAATTTCCTGGATGTCCGGAGAACCAACGCGGGGCACTGAGGAGGCCACGTCTGCACCTGAGGGCTGTTGCACACACCATGATGTGGATTTGGTCAATTTCAGGGTGAGCTTTGAAGGATCAGGGCTTTCAGAGCCTGATGACTTCCTCTCAGATTCTGGAGTCTGTTGACAACATCAAGTTTTCAGAGATTAAGTCATGGATCCAAGTTTTCAAGTACCTCAGGGTTAGTATACAACTGTTCTTCCAAATCTGTTACCCAATTAGTTTTTTAATAAATTTTTACTTGGAGTCCAACACCACACAGAATATTAGTTAGTTTGAGGAAAATCAAAGTAGTTAGTTACATTTTTCGTTCCCAAAAAGTCTGTTTGACGAGCGTTTGATGATGAAAGGCTGTCACTAAAGTTTTCACAAACAAATGTGTTTATTTAATAATATTTTCACAAGTCAGGGAGTCTTTAAGCTGCGAAATACAAAGCTTTATTTTGCTTCAAAGTGAAAACCTGAAATTTAATATTATTATTACTGAGCTTTTGATAATGTTTACATCAGGAGGTGCAATTACTACGCTCACTGAATGATACAGAGACAATGATGGGAAATGGGTCAAGCTCGGAACTTTGGCAGATGCCTTGTTACAATTTCAAGACTTTTGAATCAATTAATTGTATTTCTGGAGTTGTTTCAGATTTGCATTTTGCATTTCTTGGCCTACTTTAGTTATAACACCTACTCTATTATTTTCCCTTTTTCTCCTCACACTGATCTTTATCAAGCTGGGAACTTAATTATGAAGCTGGACAACAAGTAGCCTCTGTTATATTTTATCTTCTCTGCAAGCAAAGGCATATCAGACAGGAAGTGTTGAGTGTAGTAGGGGTATGGTAAAAAGTGCTAAAATCTGCTATAACAAAGCAAAATGGTACTAGTTAAGATGTTTGGATTTCTTTCATTGATGGCAACAGAATAACTTCAGTCAGGAGGAATCGCATTCTACTCTAGTATGGTCTCCTAGCCTTTTGAGAACAAAGCCCTATAGTCTCAAAAGGGTTTACAGTGGAGCTTGGTTCAGTTCTGGCTATTATACAAGTTTGAAAAATGAAAACTAATGCAATTAAAGATTTTGAAAGAGTCCTGTTTGGTTCATTCTAGCATTTAATAGAGACTTTGCAACTGAAGAAAATTGCTAAAATTGCTAAAATTTAGTGTGCCTCTAAGAATAATTTTCATTAGTAAAATTGAAAAATATTCTTTCTAATAGGCTGAGCTTGCAGAAGACGGAAGAGAAAAAAGAATAAATAAATATCTGTGGGTTATGTGTACAGAAGATTACAAAGATCACGATCCGTACATGAGGATTCAAAGTGCTTGTGTAAATTTTAGTTGAAATAAAAATTCGAAAAATTTTAATTGTATTGAATCCTTCATACTAATAGATTCTTTATAATGTTCACTTGTAGAACTTCACATGCCTTTTTGTGCCCCAATTTTTTTCCTTTTTTGTATCCCAGAACAAATGTCTATTTACCTACTTATTTCAATAAAAACAAATGCCTGAACATCTGAGCTTAATAATGAGAAATAATTTCTAATATTATATTACAATTTGAATTTTACATTACCACATGTTAATGTTTAATGAAAAACAAGTTCCATTAAAACCAAAAAGTAGTTGGAAATTCCTGTTAACTAAATAAAAATTGCATAAAATGAAGAATTTTTGTGCCAGGGCCATACATTCTATTGGTGCTAAAGTGAATTTCATGTCAAGGAAGAAAATGTCACTAAAGAACTACAAATTATATTTTAGATCTGAGAAACTATCATCTGCTCAAAACAAAATTTTAAAATTCTCTAAAATGAATATTCAGAAACAAGAAAACTAACAATTAAATAGAAAAGATCAGAACACACTCCAACTAAATGTTATTTTTTTACGAGATTAGTGATAGAGATAAGAGATCAAAGATATATTTTAAGAATTAGAAGAACTCACCTTTAAAACAGGTTTCTCTACAGATTTTTCTTTTGTTGATGGACATGTTTCCAAAATGATGCAGTCATCATTATCCTGCTTCACACTCTCTCTCCGCCGTTTTATAAAAGGCTTTTCAGACTTCCCTTCAACAGCAGTCTGCCCTTCATCTTTCCCTTTTTTCGCAATATTCTCTGGTACAGTCTTTAAAATGGATACTTCTGATAAGACAACTGTGGGTTCTTTTGGTTTACTTACAGCTGCTTCCTCAGGTGATAAACCAGGACTGACATCTCTTTTAAACTTCATGGTTATTTTTTCAGTTTTTGCTTCATCTCCCCCTGGCAAAGCCAGGTTGGTTTTAGAGGCTGACAGAGGTGTTTTTGAAACTGGTGATAGCACTTTGGTCCTCGGCGTTGGTGATTGTAAGCTAGTTTTGGACACTGGTGATGGCAGGTTAGTGATGGAAACTGGTGAGGGCAAACTAGTTTTAGAGGTTGGTGAGAGTACACTGGTTTTTGATACTGGCGACAACAAGCGTGTTGTGGTCGATGATGGCTGGCTGGTTGTAGCCTGGTCCTGAGTTTCTGCTAGTGAAGGAGTGCCTTGGGTTTTTGGTGATGTCACATCTTTTGGAATCTTCAGAGTGAGTTTTTCAACCTTTTCAGCCTTCTGAAACTTCTCACTTGTCTCTGAGACCTTGGGAGATGGTACAGAATCTGTAGGTTCTTTCTTTGGTTTAGCAGTTCGTTCCTCAAGCTAGATGGTATATAGAACAGATAAATTAACACAAAAATTAGGATTAAGTCAGTCAGAAGGGTCTTTAAATATTAACTGAAGTATCAAAATTATGAATTAGGAAGGTCAAAATGACAGCTAGAGGAGAAACTGTTTAATTCAAACACTTTAATGCAATTCCTAGAATCTCCCAATTGGAAGTTTAACTTCTAAAAGATGGCTGGCTTCCACATTCAGGAACCTTTTATGTGCTTCATTAAAGGAAGTAACAAGATGTATAAATAAACAAATATTAAAACTTAGACCTCTATGAATTCAAAAATTGTAAAAGGCATAAGTTAGAAACAGTGAAAGTACCAAGGTTTATTATGTGGAAGTATAATCTGTAATCTCCACCAACTCTTCTTGAGCTCTGGACTGTCAAACCTCTCTTTTACTATACAGTTGAATTATGAATAAAAGTAGAAACAAGTGTAGATGCATCATTTGATAACAAGAAATATTAGCTCTGATTTTATAGAAACTACACAAATGGTTCCATAAGTTTCTGATCAGACCAAAATAAAACTCAACCATGGGGAAACCTTCCAAGCAGTAGATAGATAGAATAATCTTATCTTTTATTGTTGTAATGCTATAAGTTTGGAAACAACATCTTATTTAGTATTGGGAAGAGAGGTGCTTGACTGGGATGCTGTGAATGAAATCTCATGGTGTTCAGCATCCTTACCAAAAATCACCTCAAGCTCACCACTGCTCAAATTGGAAGAATACTGGAAGGACTATGACTTCTAGGGGATGGACCACCTGCTCTACAGTCCACATTTGACACTCAACCACTATTACCTCATCTCAAAACTGATTAAAACTTTAGGAGAAGAAAATTTTCCAATGACAATGAGGTGAAAAAAGCAGTTTTTGACTGACTGGACAAAACTTCAGAGAACTTTTTAAAGAGAATAGAAATGTGAATACATGTGAATGTTTATGTTGAATAGTGACATAATTTTCTTCTTTGTACCACAACTAGAAGTTGGAGAGTCCAGAAACTTAGGGAACCTACCTCATATGAGCATCAGCAAACAAACTACAGATTTGTTTTATAGTTCTTCTGACAAATTAAACAATCTCTTTATCTACTTATTTGCATTTAATATTATTTTTGTGTTCGTCCACAATATAATATTGACAAAAAAGTGCTCCAAAAATACCTGATTCATTCTGTATATCAGAGTCAGGGATTTTTGGAGGTTAAACATTGCAATTAAGTAATAAGTTTATTAATATAAAAATATATTTTACCTTTTTCTCTTCAGGAAATTTCTGACTTTCTGATCCTTCCTTTTCGTCATCTTTCTTTATCTTCAGAGTGAGTTTTTCAACTTTTTTATCTTCCTTCTTCTCATCCTCCTCCTTTCCCTTCTTCGCCTCCATCCCAATCTCCTCTTCTTTTGTCTGAACAGTTGAATCATCAGCAGCTGACTTCAACTTTAAAGTTAACTTTTCAACTTTAGGCTCTACTTTTTCTAACACAATAGTGGCTGAAGACGACTTCTCTGCAGATTCATTGGAGGAATCTTTCTTGATTTTTAGGGTTAGCTTCTCAACCTTTTCTTCAGAACATATATCTGGTTCTATTTTAGATTCCGAAATGTCTTTTTCTTTGACAGACACTGAATTAGAAGAATCTTTTACAAGTGTAAGCGTAATTCGTTCAGATGATTCTGTTATTTCTGCAGGTTCACTCTTCTTTCCATCTGTCAAAGCAATATCCTGACTTCCAGAATCTTTTCTGATCCTAAGAGTTAGTTTTTCAGTCTTAGATGCATCCAACACAGCTTTCTCCTTTGGTGATGGCATATCAGTACTGTCTTTCTTCAATTTCAACATCAACTTTTCAACTTTCGGTTCATCAACATCTCCTGCAGTTTCCTGGCTCAAGGGTGAGTCAACTCGAATTTTCAGTGTCAATTTCTCAACCTTTGGGCTTTCTTCAGACTTAGCACTAGTTGACGGACTAAGTTGTACATCCCCAGCATCTTTCTTCAGTTTCAAAGTCAATTTCTCTACTTTTGGTTCTTCATCAGTTTCTCCTTTTGGACTTGAAATTCTGGCAACAATACCTTTTTCTGTGTCTTTTAATTTCAACATCAGCTTTCCAACTTTTGGTTCAACATCTTCAGAGTCTTTTGTACAAGTGTCCAGAGGCGCAGTGCTAGTTGAAGCTGTTGTTGAAGATACTACAGAGTCAGATCGACTGGAATCTTTTTTAAGTTTCAACATAAATTTGTCTCTGTCCTCAGACTCTAATTCACGCACAGTTGGACTGCCCACTCTTTTTAATTTAAGAGTCAGCTTTTCAGTTTCACGTGAAGCATCAAGTTTAGGTGACAAGCTTATATATTCATCACCTTTCCCTTCAGAATCTTTTTTACGTTTAAGTGTGATGGGACTTAACTTCGGCCCAGCGACTGGACTATCTTCGACTTTAATAGTAAGAGGAGATTTTACACTTGGAATTTTGTAGCTAGAAGTACTAGGCCGTGGACTTGAGCTGGAGCTTGAAACTTCTTGATCTCTGGGTCCTTCTTCGACCGTTTTCAAAAGTCCTTTAGGTGCTGCTTCAGAAGACTGTTCAACAGAGAATTCATTTGAAGGAGCTGTTTTCCTTATAGACTGCTCAAGTACCTCTGATTTCTCAGATTTCTCCACTGATGATTCTGCTTTAGAAATAGTGAGAGCAGTCTTTTGTATCATTGGAGATGTAGTTGCAGCTGTTTGCTGTTCTTTAGGAACTTTTGGAGTTTTCTGTAATGTACATGGTTCCGGATCTTCTTTAGAAGCAGGTTTTATATCTTGACCTTCAGATACTTGAGGTGCTGGCAATGAAGTTACTGAAGCTCCCTCAGTCTTTTCCTTTAGAGGAAGTGAAACATCTTTGGCAATTTTCGCATCTAGCAACTCTGGTTCTGAACCGTCATCTGAGTCATCGGGAATTATGGAAACTTCACCTCCTTTCACTTGTTTTGAACTCACAGAAGGCTGAGTTAGTCTTTTCCTGGAGACATCTTCACTCTCCGACATCAGAGAAGGAGTCGCTTTCTTCACATCTGCCTCATCAACTTTCCCCACTGAACTAGGAACTTTCTTGGCAGAAGCGGATGCAGTAGGGAGTTTCCAAGACAGAGTGTCTTTAGCAATTCTTGGGGAAAGTTCAGTCTTCTTTTCTTGCAATGATGCAAGAGCTGATGGTCGTTGACCAATAGGTGGTCGACCCACAATTCCTAGCCTACCACCTGGTGTTCTCTGAATTGATGAAGCAAGAACCGGTTTACAAATGTCTTCTGTAGATTCTTTAGAGAGGGATAAAGCAGCTGTGGAAGTTTTCTCAATTTTCTCCACAGACTTCTCAGATAAAACTGTTTCTTCAGCTGTTTCTGGATGAGACACTAATGAGGTTTCTTGACCCTGTAAACTTACCTCGCTTGGTGATTTAACTGAAGTAGCCACCACTAGTTTGTTACTCTTGTTTTCAACCTTCTGTTTTATAGATCCAGGAACAGGTGATTTTTGCTCCTGGAATTCCTGAAGAGAGGTTTTGCTCTGTTGCACATTTATTTGTTGCTCTTCTGCAAGAACTGGTTTTGATTTTTCTGGTGTATTTGGCTTCTCACTACCACTATCAGCTGTCAAACTTGCTGTTGGTGTAAGAGCGGAAGATACAGATTCTTCTATCTGAGTAGTCCAGGACACATCAATTTGTTTCTGAGTACCTGTTGAGCTCCCTTTGCTTTCAGGCTTTCCACTTGTCAAATCTTCATCAGGTTTCTTAGTAGAACTGATCTTCTCTGTTGATGACTGAACCCTAACTTTTGTTCCCCTCATAGTTTGCTCAGATGCTTTTTCTGTAATAGATTGTTTTTCTAATGAAAATCCTGTGAGGTCAGTCTTTTGTGAGCCTGAAGGTTCTACAGGGGATTGCTTTAAAGCAGTGACTACAGATTCTGGTGATTCTGTTTTTTGCATCGCTGTCTGGAAAGCTTCTGAAGCAGATCCAGATATTTCTTGTTTCTTCTCTTGGAAAACAGGAGTAATATTTTCCTTTGGTTCTGAATGAACAGAAGTTACCTGCTTTTTTTGTGTTTCTTCTTCAGAAACTAACTTTAATATTGCAGGAGGCTGATCTTCAATAGACTGCTCTTGTATACTCTTACCAGGACTTGCTTTTTCAATAACCATTTCTTTCAGTGATGTTTTCTGATCTGGGTCCATTGTAGATTTTTCATCTGCATTACCAGCAGCTGAGGGCTTGGAAGTAGTTGATGTGAGTTTCCTGACAGCTTTCTTTTGACCTGTCACCTTCTCAAAATTCTTCGGCAGTTCTTCAGTACTGGAGTCATCAGTCTTTTGTACTGAAGTCTCTTTCTTCACAATAGATTTCAAAGTAGAAAGTTCTTGAACTTTTGATTTTTGAGGAGCTGTAAAGGTGAGCAGTTTTGTTGGTGTTGTTTCCTTCTGTACAGCTGCTTTCAAAGTAATGGGGCCTACATTCTTTGGTTCTTTTGTACTTTCAGAAGATTTCTCTAGTTTTGTTTCAGATGGTTTATGTACTGCAGTTACAGATGAAGGTTGTTTTGTATCAGTATCAACAATCTTCTGAGCTGTGCACTCTGCAGGGTTTGATTTTTGCATGGAGGAAACAGAAACAGTTGGTTGTTCATCACTTTTTGAGAATACTACTTGCTTTGTAGCAGCTGTGACGGCAATGGCTACCTGTGCCCCTACTTCCTGGACAGGATCTCCAGTGCTTTGTTGCTTTATATCATGATCTGCAGCTGATTTTTTTGCTGGGTTTTTATGCGGAGATGATACTTCTGCATCAGAACCAAAACTGCCAGCTTCTTGAACTATGATAGAATTGTCTTCAGATGTAGATTTTAATTGTTCTCCTGCAATATCAGAGGTAACTAAAACTTCTGCTGTTGGTTTGGTTACATCTAAATCCATATTAACTGTCCTCTGTAATTGTGTGCCTGCGTCACCAATGCCTGCAGGTGGTTTCTTAACCACTGTACAGGGGAGAGATTCAGTTAACGCAGCTTTTTGGGTTTCCACAGCTGGTTTCTGGATGGGTTCTGCAACAGACACTGGCACAGGCATACATTCTGTCAATGGCTTCTCCCCAGTTTCAGCAGTTATTGGTTCCTGTGATACAGACACTGCAAGAACAGATGTCCCTGCGGCATCTGATTTCTGATCTATGCCTGAAGTAATTGCCTTTCTGGATGGAATCTCTATAGCACCTGACACCTGAGCCAAAATTTTTGTAGGTCCTGACTTTCCAGAAGAGATTTCTGCATCTGAAAGCTTCTCAACTCGAGTCCCAATAGTAGATTTCTGAACTTCTTCTGTTCTTGCATTTCCCAACTTCTGAGTTGGGTTTCCAGAAGCAATCTTTTGGACAGGAATTCCAGAAGAAATTAGGTTCTGGGCTGGGGTTCTTGTAGTAATTGTTTTCAGGGTTGGGGGTGATACAGCAGGTGGTTTCTGGATTGAAGTTCCAACAATACCTGGTTTCTGGGCTGAGGTTCCTGCATCAGCTGGTTTCTTCGTTGGGGTTCCAGCTTCAGCGGGTTTCTTGGCTGGAATTCCGGCATCAGGTGATTTTATGGCTTGGATTATAGTATTACCTGATTTACTTCCTGGAGTTCCTGTATCAGCTTGTTTTGGGACGGGAGTTCCAGCAATAACTGGTTTCTGAGTAGAGGCACCTGCATCAACTAGTTTCTGGGCGGAGGTTTTAACATCAACTGATGTCTGGGCTGGAGGTCCCACATCAGCGGGTTTTGGAGCTGGAGGT